TTCTTGATGAATTTGAGAACACGAATAATTTTTTGTTTGCTAAACTTACACATTACAATTTTTCACGAACATTTTTTTAAAGATTAGCTAGCACAAGAGGGTTGGAGGAGGAAGGCAAGGAGGACTGCCAGACACTGACCCAAGCTCGGGGGGAGATGGAGGACTGGCGGTTTCCGATGGCATTATCGCGGGGTGATTAATCGGTGCCCGAGGTGTTCCATTGTCTCTCAGGGACGTCTCGATTCTGGTTCCTCACGCGTGTCCCGCAGTTTTTACGCCATAGCGCAAAACCACACCATCACTTCCCTTCCTCTTTGATTTCATTCTCGCCCTTTCTCTCTGCGCCATCTACTCAACAGCCGCGCATATACCTTGCGCAGCACCGAACGGCTCTTCCCACTTGGCGGCGCTAGTGTTTCACTGACATTTGGCCAATTTTGTGCCGCTTATTTAAACTTATGTACTTTTACCTTCATCCTTTTCGCTTGTAAAAATAATGAGTAACTAGCTGGTTATTGTTGCTCGCTTAATTCATATATTTATATATATTCATATATTCATGTTTATTTCGTGTGCGACCCTTTACGGGTCACACAAAGAACTTCCCGATTTCCGATTACAGCGCCATCTATCGCGAATAAAAATATGTTTGAAACTAGTGTTTTGAAAAGGTCTCATAGCCAGCTTTCACAGTGCATGATAAAAAATGAGGTGTTCAATTAAAAAAATCATGTTGACCTTGACGTGACTTTGACCGATCCTTTGAAGGTCAAACGGGCACGATCGTTCGATAGAATTTTTGAAACCCTAAAACATTTCTCTAAACCATTTTTCTCACAAATGTTCCATTCTGGAAATATTTGACTGCTTCCATACTTTTCGAGCACCCTGTATGTAAATATATATACATGTGTTATACATATGCATGCAAATGTAATAATAGTAATATATGTATATGTATTATTTCCGTTTAGTTATTCGCTCATAAATTTATATTCTCCCATTTAGATTGCGTTATTGAGTTAAGTTTTCTTAAAAAAGAACTAAAAAACTACTGGACCGAATTAGAACAAAATCTACCCAGCTCTAAGTTAGATTGATACATATCGATCGCATCGTCGATCATTTTGATCTCGCTATTAGTTTTTTAGAAAATGTTAACGAAAAATTTGTTTACATACGTACATACATACGCACACACGCACACACACACGCGCGAACAATTTGTTAAAAATAGGCTAAAATTACTCCAATGACCTTGAAAAAATCGATTTTTCATTTTAGGGGCAAATACAATAACTTCCCTATAAATCGGGAAGTTAATAAATATACAAAATTGCTCGTACCTTTGCCATCATTGTTTAATCTACCAAATTACGCTTGCACTAAGAATAGAATTATAAATGAATTGTCCGATCAAATAAACCGTTTTCGTTATTAATACTTGTGAAATCGACCCTGGAAACGTTTTCGATTCTTGTTTATCAGCGTTTCGCACAGTTACACGGCTGCGCTCACGGCAACGATGAAACAGTTTCAAATTGTTTCATTTAACATTATAGTTGCAACCGCGACCGGCGTTATTAACTAATCCGATCGGGGATTCCTTCGTAACCGTTCAATGACGTTTGTTGTTACAACCTCGTACGACCATAATCGCTTTATAAACTCGTTTTCAGCACGCGGCTTTGTTACCGACGCACGAGTTGCTCTTTGGCTGCAGTCAAAGAAAATATCAGGAAAGTAACCAGAGATCATTATACGGATCTGTTGATGTACGAGCAGCATGATTCAAATGCGATTGTGAATCCTGTAGCTGCTTGTATACTTCTTTGAAATCGTTGGGTTTCAAGCTCCTTTTATTCAAGGTGATTCATATAAATCGTAAGAATCGTGTGATATGTATGATATATATTTTCTATAATTGAAAAGGAATAATTGCTTATTCCTGACCTCCTTTAATTTAAAAAATTGATAACGTAATGACGTGACGTAAAATAGCTATTAAACAAATCTGTTTTTTTTTTGTAGTCACTATAAACGTAACAATAAATACTTAGTTCATTCAATAAAAATAAGAATTAGTTCGTCAGAATGAATAGACGTAATGAATTTACTGAAGAGGTTGAATAAAAATAATACATATAAATAATCCATTCGTTGAATGCGAGATAATAATTGCGTCATGAAGAACTAATAAATGCAATTAATTTAGTAAATTAGCCGAATGAAAATAATAAAAAAGTAAAAATTGATTGATCATTAATAGGAGCAATTAATTCATCGAATGCGTTACATAAAAGTAAACAGAAATAATCGATATATCAATAACAGACTGAAGCCATAATTTTCCTACCGGCAGGTATTTTTCAGGCCTGGTGGAAGACGAACGACGCGGTGTATTTTCTATGCAACGCATGCGAGCGCTATTTAAATACACACAATCGAAAGTGGAAGTAATTAGTACGTTCGTTGCGAGGCTCATTGTGGCGTAGACGTTAGCATACCCGCTAACTCTTCGTCTTCGAGGAATTTTACCCTAGTCGATGGAGAGTTCGGCAAACAATGTCGACTATTCCTAACTTGTAGCCAGGAATTGGACGAGGTCCGTGTGTGCTGATCATACAAGCCAAAGTACTTGCACACGGAGTTCACGCGGGACGGGTTTCCTTTACGAATTCATAGCGCAGAAAAGTACTTTACTTTTCCGTTCTCTCGCGACTCGAGACCGCAGACCAAACCTACCGTCCAGCCACTTCAGACTAAAATACACAAGGACATCAGGAAAATATTCCTCGATCGAGCTGATAGATTTTGTCGCGCATCGAATCGCTAAAAATTACGGATGAAATATGCTGCATTCGTAATTGCATAGGTGAACGAAGTTTGTCTTTCGTTTTTGTTTTTCGTATCTCAACAAGTATCGAGTATAATGCAAATGCGGTTGTTAGCTAACAATAATATGGAAGTAAGGAAATTGTCCGGAGGAAAGTTTCATGTTTCTTTCGTGTTGTCAATAGTTGACGCGTAACGCGACGTGAAAATTCCATCCAAAAATAATAGATGTAATAATAGACATCTTGCTTGTGGAAAGTTTCTTATGTTTATTTTTAATAGCGAGCCTTGCTGCAGCGAATAATTTTCAAGGTACTTCTGAAGAAATAATTTGTTATACTTATGGAAGTCGTAAGTTACGAAATATTCGTGCAAAGATATTTGTCGGATATTTTATGGATTATTTGAAATTATTGAATGTAAATGTGTGTATAAAGAAGTCAGCTCCGTTAAAATATTTTCATAAACAAGTTTGGAGTGACTGCGATTTTATATATTCTTTTCGATGTGAAAACGACACCTTCCACGAATTGTACATACCAACAAATTAATGTTTGCAAAAACTCTGAGAAAAATAAAATCACAATTCAGAAAACATGCAATCACGATAAATCTACGGTTAAAAATGTACTTTAATGATCGGGAAAAAGAGCAAAGATTCCATTCCAGAAAGTCCAGTTCCGTTTCTTCTCGTGATATCAGAGATCCAACATGTTTTATCGCATCTGGACTGAGTAAGGATGTCCACGTGTAATTTTTATCGCGAGCAACGTTCCTTTTGCAATGTTATGACACGGCGCGTCAAGCTTTCTAACGAACGCCCGTCGATTTCGCGGCGGAGCCTTGTTCCAGTTTTTTTCTTCCCCTCCTCTTTTTTTTTTTTTTTAAACGTTCACAATTAACCCTCCGTAGACGGCGTTAATTAAAAGTCCTTAGAAGAATTTTCCCCGCGACGCGTCTCATTAATTCGACGTTCCGAGAATACTAATCCCGACGACTTGTCATCCGTTAAAAAGAGACGCGTGCACGCGGCTTTGCGTTACACACGGAGCATAGTTATGGCTGCGATTACGGGTGCTAACAGGAATGAAAAAAATCTCTCGGGGACGAATCCTGGCGATGCTCGGGATCCTCAAGGTTCCCCGGGTTTTTTCTGCAGCGGTTTTCGAGAGATTACTGGTCTTTCCTGGTTCGTCTGTTACTGTGTACTCGTGTCCTGTGATTTATGACGATTTCATTCGCCCGAGGAAACTGTTGGCAGACTTTATGATATAATTGCATGGTTGGTTTCATCTTCTTTTTGTTGTATAAAAATTGGAGAGCTTCTTTGAACGTGATATTGCTTTAAATTGATTCATTTGTTAGGTCAGTGTTATAAGAAAGTCAGTATAGTGATATATTAGGAGAGGAGGGTTTAGGTTGGAAATATTGAAGTTTGAATAATTCATAAATATACTTTTTGTAACCAAAGAAGATCGAAAGTAATGGTCAATGGCCCTCTGTGATAAGCAGAGGGAGATTTATGCGTTGTATTTTTTTTGTATTCAGTCTTGTTTGACTTCATTCGTGGTATTTTTTTTTACGAAACCCAATTAAACTGCATCTGCTAAATTTCTGATATAAAATCTAGTTCGACTTAGTTTATTATATTCTATGCGTGACACCTAGTTCGACTTGATTAGTTATATCGATTATATGAAATTCATTTAGTATTAACCCTTTGCACTCGAGGCCTTTTTTTCTTGTATCTATCAGCAACTCTAGATGCTTTCTTAGTATTCTATTGTCACGAATGGTAAGCTTAGATTGACTTCGGAAATGAGATCTCTAATTTGAGATTTGAGAATCAGATCACTTTTGCCTCAATGACAATCGTTTTATTGACACTTTGAGTTCCAAAGAAATTAAACCTAGAGGAAACCTAGTGGTGACTGGGAGTCACCTCTCGAGTGCAAAAGGTTAACATTTTGTATTAATTTTAATTGAACTTCATTTACTATGAAATTCAATCCGACTCCATTCGTCATACATTTTCTATTAATTCCAGTTGAACTTCACTCGCTATATTTCTTCGATAAAATCAATGATAACTGAAAGTTTCCCTCAGGCCAGCAGGAATGACACGCAAGGAAGTAAACATTTCTGTTTTTGTTGGCATGTTGCAGGCGGTATGTGCTGGTCTTCTATCAGCAACGGTCGCTGCAAGGAATTGTTGTCGCAACGAGTGACAAAGGAGAATTGTTGCGCGTCGAACGCGGCGGCGGCGACCGCGTACTCCGAGGAAGACCTCAATAGCGAGAAGCTGTTTTTTTGGGGCGTGCTCAATGGAGGTGTTCAGTGCCGTCCTTGCAGAGGTAATCGATCAAATTCATTCGACAGGTGGATTCGTCATACGAGAAACGGATAATTTCTAAGTTATGTTATGTTATTGCTTTAGCATGCTGATTTTCATATATTTATATACATTTATTCATATATTATATTATAATTTATATGAAATATTACTTATATTCGTGTATATATTTTTTTTTAGGGTATTATTACAAGCAACATATAGTATAAATTATGATAAATAGAATATGATCCAAAGGATATGAATTCTGAAATTTTTAAAAAAATTCTAAAAATGCTTCTTTTCTTGTCTTAAGTGTCAATGTCTGGCACACATAAATGCTTCGTTAGTTTATTGACGCACGTGACCGTTCTACCAATGTCTTCCTGTTTGTTTGTATTCTGGACGGTGCACTAACAGTTTCGCATAACGAACCGTTTAGAGGAATGATTGTTTGATTCGTGGAACGTAGAAGAGTTCTGGAAACTAATCGCGTATGTTACCCTCACTTAAAGTGCGACTTGTTTACAGCTTATTCGACTGATTGGCTCAAGTCTTTTCAAGATCAAAAATAGAATATACTTTTCAACCTCAGGATTTCTCAACTTTTAACATCACCTAAGTCTACTTTTCTTTAATACTTATGGAAACAATACATTCTTCAATTTTTCATTAATTTTTCCATTTCTGTTTACCATTTTTGATATATGCAATTCCATCTACAGAATATGTAGATTAATTAATGATTGTGTACATTTTCACCCTGGCACACAATCATTTACAAAGCAATCTTTATATACTTTAATCCTTTTGGTATAATAATCCACTTTTGTCAACTAATATTTAATCACTAACCCTTACTCAATGTAAGCTTCCAAAAAATCCATTTTTATCGTTAATTACCGCCAGAAAAACTTGCTCATACGCATGCTGGAGGATTTAAATGACGGGGCGGAGTTTATAGTACTTTCCTCGCGAGTACACACGGTACTTTCCAAGACCACCATGGCGTGGCGCGTCCCAGGGGTGGTTTATAGCATTCTTCTCGCGCGTACACGCTAGTTTACAAACCCACCATGGTGTAGAGCAAAGAATCATCGCCAGTAATTCGTTCAAGTAACTCAGAGGTCATTTCTTTCGACAGAAAGCTGTGCAGAAGTGAGGTGTGAAGAAGGGAAGAAGTGTGTGGTGCGCAGGGGAAGGCCAAGGTGCGTGTGTAGCCCCGAGTGCAAGGCGCCAAGAGGCGGTGGTCCAGTTTGCGGGACGGACGGAAAGAGCTACAAGAATCTGTGCAGGCTGAAGAAACGCGCGTGCAAGAAGGGAAGCCACGAGCTAGCGGTTGCCTATAAGGGCCACTGCCAAAGTGAGTATGTATGAACGAGTTAGAATCATTATCACGACCACAATTGCAATTGAATCGCTTCCGACTGGGCCGTTTCGGATTGAACGTTCTTGCTCGCTGCGCTTTCTTTTTAAGAAACAGTAAATTATGAAGTATAGCTCCTTTCTTCTAGTGAGCAGTAATGCAGACCACATTCGCGTGTAGTGGAAATCCACAATGGAATTCTCGGAGGCATTCGAATGCAAACATCGATTTAAGTACACATACACAGTTTACGTCCTATTGTTTATAGAACAATAACTCAATGGTCAATTTTCGCATCGAGAAAAGTGTATAACGTTACAGAAATGATATAGATAAGATGCATGAGCCTTTCAGAAAGTACGTTGCACTTCCTGAGAATTGTTTAGTTTTAGCTAAATATTAAGACATTTGTTGAGATAATGTAATAATGTTTATAACATGACTCTGTCTTCTGTTTGTTTCGTGAAGTTGAGCATTTTAGCTTTTGGAAAGCTCGTGTGTAGTTAAAAATTATTGCAACTAATTGAACCCTGTAGTTGCTTTCAATTGTTTTACATTTCTGAATGCACTTATCGATAGCAAATTGAATATTGAATATTTGTATTTAATTTTTGACTGAATATTCATGAAACATTAAAAGAATTGATAGGTAATCATTTTTTATGTTTTTACATACACACACATACACACAAACACATAGACTAAACAGACACGTATGTCGCACTCGAAACATACTCGTAGAATAAATAATAAAATAATTCCCCAAACAGTAAACAAACACCCCTCTCGGTGTGTTTTCGATTACATTAGCTGTAGAAATTAATTAAATTTCTCTACATATTGTTTTCACGAGTATATAGCTCTCTTGGAGTCGTAATCGAGGAAAGATTAAAAACAGTACGATTTTTCTATACAAAAAAAAATGGTAAGTCTACTTTGAAATTGTACAGAATTAATTTCTACCCCTAAGAGACTCTTTCAAGACATATTTCAATTTAAGAAAGAATCGTGCACTTTTGGCTTTGCTAGCTTCATATCCCCTCAGAGAGAACTAACCCAAGGGTTAATTTTCTATAATATCGATGCTCTCATGTACACATCAAAATGAAATAATACCACACAAGTATTAGGAGGTTGCATTGAAAGCTGCTGTTTATGTATACGTGGATTTTACTGCGAATACTGTATTTTATGAATTGTTAAAACCACATGCAACAGTCACCGCCGAACGTTATTGCCAACAATTGAAGCGTTTACACGATAATTTGATAGAAAAACGACCATCAATTGCATGAAATCGCCGAAAAGTGATCCTTCACCACGACAATGCTCGGCCTCGTGTTGCTAGAACTGTAAAATAAACACTGATGGAGTTATCTAATTATCATTTGTTCAGATCGATGCAACATGGTTTGGAAGACTCATATTTCCGTAATAACGAAGAAGTTGAAAATTGGGTTGCTGAATGGATAAGCTCGAAAGATAAACCCTTCTTTCGTCGCGGAATTCAACTTTTATCAGAAAAGTGGGAAAAAGTAGTAGCTTTTCAGGGCAAATATTTCGATTGATACTTTTATATACTTTCTATTGAAATAAATGCTCAAGAAACACAAAAAAAACAGCGGATTTCAATGCAACCTCCTAATATTATAGTCACTGGTAGGGATCTTGTGAGGTCGTAAACCAAAACAGCAGTTATTACTTTATTGGCACAAGTAACTGATCCCTAGGACGACAGGGATGTCGCGGCTCTAAGGATACATGCCGACGTTGCACCTCGGGGTCCCAACACTAAATATGTTTCGTTACGAGTACCTGGGCTTTTTCCAAATTGGAAAAACCAAATACTCTTAACGATGACTGCTTGAAACGAAAAAGTCTTATGATAATCAATTCATCCACTGCAGAATTACGTGCAAAGATACATAAAAAGAATAAAGTTATTGAAATACGAACCTCCTAATTCTGATATCGTACGGTTCCGAACGAAAAGTCTAGCTCTACCCTTGTCTAAAAAGGTGTCCAATTCCTAATTGCGGTCTGCTTAAGTTGTAAAAATCGATCTCCGGCCGATTTTACGACCTCACACGATCCCTACCAGCAAGTATACTAATTATTCCCTATCACTGTTACCTTTCCTCACACCCTTGAACCCGGAACAACCATGCCCTTCCAAGTCACGCGAGGCCCCCGTTGAAGGGATCGTCTCTACGACCGGAAGCGCGTGATCCCGTGGTGAAAATCGGTCGTAGGGCGCGCGTACACGAAAGACAAGAAAGGAGGGGTTGTCGCATGCATCTATCACGGGGGCGGTTTACGACTGTGCGTAATAACGTGTAAAGTGTCGAGCAGGTTCGTGCGCACGGGTCCGGTGCGGCCAAGGCCGGAGCTGCCTGTTGGACCAGAACCTGAGCCCGCACTGCGTGAAGTGCGCCCGCAGGTGCCCGCAGCCACCCCCGCAACAGCGAGCCGCCGCACGCCCCGTTTGCGGGGCCGACGGAAACACCTACAAGAGTGCCTGCCACCTGCGACTCGCCGCCTGCCGCGCAGGTCGCGCCATTCCCGTCGCCTATAAGGGCCACTGCAAACGTGAGTTTCTCCTTTTTGCTCTTGCTCCTCTTTCTTTGTCTTTGCTTTGTCTCCCCCACTTTTGCCCCCGAGGTCTGTCCCGCTCTTTCGACGGTGTTTCCCTTCCAGGCCCTTTTGACTTTACGAGCCGTTGTTCCCCTGCTTCGATCTTTCTCTTCTTTCTGCCCCCCTTCTTCTAGCCTCTGTTTGCCTTTCCTTGGGTTTCTCTTTGGCCTCTCTTTAGCCTCTCTTTGCATTCTCCTTAGCTGTTTTTTAGTCGGTTTTTCAGCACAGCGGTGCACAACTCACCCGCCCGTAAAGGCTCGTTCTCACCTGTCGAGCTACCCGGAGGACGTAAGAATTGTCTTCTGGCGGTTTGTTTTGATTTTTAGCTTGGAGGGTTTTGGAGTGGTTTTTGGGGGATGTTTTTAATATTTTCAGTGGAATTTGGTGGGAAATTTTATGTAGTGGGGATTATGTCGGTTCGGTACTTCGCTCTTAATCCTTTGACCTACACGCTGTCTCCCTCGGGCCATAGTAAACAGGAAGGTAGGAAGACCAAACGAAACACCATTTATTGTTTATGGCTCAAATTTCTTACTACGAGTCTTACTCGTGGTTGTAGGCCAAAGGGTTAATGAGATGATTTTTTTATGGTCAATTTAACTAGATATAGTTCAACTTCAAGAAACTACTTGGCTCGTGCAAATCAAAGCTGACAACTAATTTTTGTATTGAAATGAAGATGTGACTTGTCCGTTACAATTGAAGTTAATTGTAAGTGAACCCTGACTTTTCAATTGTACCCGGAGTTAGTTATAATTGAACCCCGCGTTTTCAACTGCATTTCAAGTTAAACTATAATTGAAACTCGATTTTTCAACTATACCTGATGTTAACTATAATTGAAAATTAAATTATAATTGAAACCTGACTTCCCAACTGCACCTCATGTTAATTATAATCGAAGTCTGACATTTTAACTGCACCTGATGTTAACTACAATTTAAGTCTGACATTTTAACTGCTCCCGAAATTAACTATAAATAAAAATCTTCTTTATTTAGTACAACTGCAGTAAATTGTCATTCGTTTTTCATTCGTTTGATTGATTCAATAAAAATGTAACGAATTGATGCCTAATTCTGCCATATGGTCACACTCAAGTTTCCAGAACGACAAATGTCGCGATATTCAACTGCATGGTGCTCAAAGTGGCGGCTTTGTGTCACGTGAAAACGGACCTTAATCTCGGTCGAATGAACCCACAGAGAAATCGTAAATATCGAGCGGCGTGGGGCGTTGAGTTGCTGATACGGGGATTGTGTTTCGTCGGGTAGAATGGTAGAGGGGGGGTTCGAGTCCTTGTTTTGAAGGATCCACGAGGGAGGGTGGAAAAGACGGAAAGGAGCGTCCGCTGATTGATCGACTACCGACGTTTTAACGCTTTTTCTTCGTGTTCGGAATTTTTGTTCGACTGTTCCGGCTGGCTTTCTCTGCTTTCTCCTCGTGCCATTGTCTACTGTTCTTCCTTGGGTTTGTTTTTCGTCTGGAAACTTTTTCTAAGCTTCCCTGCAGAAGCGTCAATCCTTTCCGTCATTATGAAAATAGAGTTTGTAGTCCAGTAATACCTCTCTTATTCGTGTTAATCATCTATGAACAATTACTATCTATCGTTTGCAATATATTTGACTCATTAATAGAATTACACGATAGGAGCATTGATGGATGTTAATAATAAAAAATGTTTGATGTCTAATTTAATTTAATTTCAAAGTTTTACTTGGGTTATAAACTGGAAAATGGTAGTGAAAAGTCGGTATTAAATTCAAAGTTTTTGAGTTAATTCTCACAATGTAGGTATCACTGTCCTTGGTTATTAAAAATTTGATTTATATTGATGAAAATATAATTTATTACAATGGAATGATTTAGTATCCAAAGAACATATAATGAAGGTTTTAATGCATTTGAAAATTTGACCGTATTGCATGATTGTAGCAGTTTATGTGTTGCTTCATTTATGAAGAACTGAAGCAAGTGAAATTCGATATGAATTTGTATTTTAACTTCTTGTATTTTACCTATTTTCTGTAAATTATTATTATCTTGGTTCACATGGTTATAATGTTTTGTTATGCGAATTGGTGCAATTCTCAAAGGTTTAATTCCCCGTCGCGAAACCATCCACATTTATCAACGCATTTTGTGCTTTCTTTCGAAGGCACTACCTGTTGCTCGTAGCGTGGAAGAGCAATTAAACGAAGGAAAACGGGTGTAAAATATAGGGTGCCTCTTGTGAAGTCCGATGGGATCGATAATAACGAGTTTCTACGTGTGAAACGAAAAACACTTTCATAATCGAAACAATTTCATCACCCTGACTGATTTAAAAATACATTCTTTTAACATTTCCCATGTACCGCCAAAGACATTTACAAGTATAAACGCTGACTTCAAAACAAATTTACATAAAACATTTCAGAGAAGAAACCTCGTCAAAGTAATTAACTTTAAAATTCTGAATAGTCTTCACCCATTTCCGACCACGATACATCGAATATTATCAATGCACGCTACTATTTACAATTAATTATACATAAATAAATTCTCCCAACATGTGCAAAATACCATACAACCAGAAAATCGACGCGATAACGTATCATTCGCCATACGATATAAAGAAGCCCGCTCATGGAAAAGAGGCGAGCAGGAAAGGGTGAAGGACGAAGTCGGGGGAAAAGAATAAAAATAAAAGGGGGAAGGGGAGGGAAAGTTCACTTCATTGGTGAGCAGGCGAGTAGCCAGACTGCCGCTGCTTCGCATCGGAATGTACCTTATTGTTGTCTGGTTTGCACAGTGCCGAATTCTTCTGACAGGTGCCATAAAGTCACCGAGCGGAGTTATGCCCAAACAAGAGACTCCGTAGGGAATAACAAACTCCTTGGCTGCACGAATGTCTACCAGGAGTAACCTTTCGACCTCCTTTTTCCATCGGAATTGTCCGCGCTAAAATCTTCCTCGCTAAAGTTTCGCCTTGTTTTCGCATTCCCTGCTACCGGAGAGAAATTGCGAGATATAAAAAGACAGGTCATCGACTGCGATCCCCTGCTGTAGTTCTATAATTATTTAAATGGAATTCCGGCACCTCGTTGTGAGCTTTTTTTTAGGATTAGTAGGGGATGATGATGCGGAGAATTCATGCAATTCATGGAGTTTGTGGAATTCACAAAATTGAGGTTTATCCATTACATAGAATTCGTAGATTTGACAAAACTCGTAACTTGTAGGACTCTTGTAATTCACAAATCATGGAATTCACAAAATATGTATAAAAAATAGATGGAAGTGCACGAAATTTACCGCAAGCAAACTATTTACTTTTTCTTGGTGAAGTTATTCAACAATGTGAACTATATTAATTTAAAAGCTGTGAAATGTTTCTTCCTGTATCTTGAGACGTGGAATTCGCGAAGTTTATAAGATTTATCCATTACATAGAATTCGTAGAATTCGTGGATTTGATAGAACTCGTAACATATAGAACTCTTACAATTCACAAATCATGGAATTCACAAAATATGTATAAAAAATAGATGGAAGTGCACGAAATTTACCGCAAGCAAACTATTTACTTTTTCTTGGTGAAGCTATTCAACAATGTGAACTATGTTAATTTGAAAGCTGTCAATGTTTCTTCCTGAATCATGAGATGTGGAATTCACCTCCGGACAATTGTACTCTTCGCCCTCTCTAAACTCGGGCTGTATATAGCTCCAGTAATGCAGCAATTCTACGGATCGTTGAGATTTCTTCAGTTTGGTCTGCGGGTTTATAGCGTTACCTTCCAGGAACAAAGAATGAGATCTTTCTTCTCGGAAAATGAAATCTTCTTCGGTCTTCTCATTCCTCGGCATTCTTTACAGCCTCCTCCTAGTCTCCGGATGTTTCACCCGTCGGGTTATCCTTTTCCCAAGGATAACAGATCTCGGTCGTGCGCATATTCCGCGAAACAGCCTTGTGCCTCTTTCAGACTCGCTTTCGTGGTCTTTACCATTGCCTGGCGTTCTTTTCCTCGATGGTTCCAGCTACTGTTCTCGTCCCTTTCGATTAAGGGAATAAGCTTCGAAGGAAAGCAGCAGAGAACACGAGTGGATAGTCAGGAGGTGACAGGAGTTGGATGTGAGGAAAATTTAAAAAAAAAAAAAGGACGAAACAGGAGGAACTATATTTCTATATCCAAATATTAGGTTATTAGCTCTAGATAATCTACCTGGGCGGTTGATAATTTTAATTTGATTGCTTGCTAGGACTAGTAAACAGACCAAAAATGTTTAAATTGGCAAGCAAGGGAGACTACTATTATTCATAGTTTTTCTCACTGCCATAATTGACGATATCGATTATAGAGCTAGAGTGTTTTTCGCACATGTCTATGAAATCCAAATATATGAAAGAAAATATATATATAAAAAATTCTGATTATCAAATTCCTAAGAAATTTAGATAGAAATACTACCAATATGGTCAAACCGTGAAGAGAAGAAGAGTCAAACAGCACGGGGTCAAAATCGACCCAACGTCCTAACCAGACGATCGATCAGCCGGGGGGGGGGGGGGGGGGGGGGGGGGGGGGGGGGGGGGGGCTCAAACGGACAGGACGAGGCTACTAACTCGTCTTCGCGAGTTTTTAGACGCGGTCCCCTCGAAGGCGTATCGCAGGAGGCGCACGATTTTCGTCGGTGCCCTCACCGATGTCCGCAAATGCGTGGATTCGAGAAGAAAAGAGGGGGGAAAGAAACAAAAGTGAGAAAGACAAAAAAAAAAGGAAAACATCGGGAGGCAATCGCAAGATCGTTCCAGGAAGTTCATCGACCGAGACGCGATCTGCCTGGCTGTGAGAGAGAGTAAAAAATTATAAAAAAGAGGGAAGACAGACGGGGCAAGGGACAGACTCGATGGAAGGAGAAAGAGACCGAGAGGGGGAGTGGTACCAACGGCGGGAAGGGGGAGAGGAAAGT